TAGCCATGGCCTCCAACCTGAAAGCGATGGCCTCCAACCTTATAGCGCAACCTTATAGCGATGGCCTCCAACCTAATAGCGATTGACTCAACTCTACTAGCGATGGGCGATGGACTCCAACCTAATAGCAATGGCCTCCAACCTAATAGCGATGGCGTCCAACCTAAGAGCGATTGCCTCCAACCTTATAGCAATCAATAGCGATGGCGTCCAACCTAAGAGCGATGGCCTCCAACCTTATAGCAATGGCCTCCAACCTAATAGCGATGGACTCCAACCTAATACCGATGTACTCCAACCTAAGAGTGATGGCCTCCAACCTTGTAGCGATGGCCTCCAAGCTAATAGCGATGGACTCCATATCTTTGTCCATTTAGCGAATGAACATTTTTCAGGTGCCAGTGGCAGCACCCTCCTTGTTGCAGAAGCAGGACAACTTGCTTCGAGGTGCCCCCTCAAAGAATTAGCTCGCCCCTCAAAAATCTGAAATGGTACGGTGCCCATTTTGCAACAGGGAGCTGCAAGATCATGGGCCAGGGATTCAGGCCCACAAGAGACCGTGTCCAGCCACCAAAGAGCACGGCACAGCGCGAGCTGGAGGAAGCGTGTGCGAAGGACAGTGTGCGGAACTCAGTGCAGGGTCGACGGGGAGGCCACCTACAAGGCGGCATTGTGGAGGAAGCGATGGGCATCGCCAGTGCTCGCCAAGCGAGCAAGACAAGTGAGGCCATGGTTGTCGGTCGGATGGAACACTTCTGGAGATTTGGAAGAGGCGCCTGGAACAAGGCCTCAAGCCTTACCAGCCTGTCCTTGCCAAGCTTTGTGCCCACCAGTGGACGGACGGCACCTGGGAGCGAGCGGTAGAGAACGGGGGTGAACCCACCAGGCCGTCCAGAGCCACAGGGTGCTTCATGTGAACGCCAACAGCGCCACAAATGAGGTGAGGGAAGTGATCTCTAGGGCTCTGCGACGCCGGAGATGGCAGAACAGCTTAAGGCTGGAAGCTGCGGCCCCCCCGCGGGAGCCGGCGGTGTGGAGGATTGTGTTGGGGGGGGGCCGATGTTTTGAAGAGACCGGCCTGGCTTACCCGTCTTTCTGGTGGCTCAGGCAAAGACGGCGTTGAAAGATCCAGTCTTTGCTGATCTGGCGGCAGCTAGTTGCAAGGAGGAACAGAAGCACCAGAGTGACGCCCAGAGATATCAGGAGGAACTTGCGCAAACCAAGGACGAGTTCAGGCGTCAGGTGATGAGCGACTTGAAGAAGCGATAGCTTGAACATTTGCATTTGGAACGACAATCGGCTATAAAGTTCTCGGGATCAGCTTCTCATCTGGGAACGGGCTCACTTCGGCGCCGATGCCCAAGAAACAGCACTACGACATGTGGAACTTCAAGTTGTTGCACGAAAGGGTCACGGATCACGCGGAGAAGTATGGCTACTGGAAGGTATGTGCACTGTTCTGAAAACCATCGCCTTGGCGGGTCTGGTTGGTGAGGCGCCGCGTTACATGGTGGTGCTGACGCTGCAGGGGGCATTGCTCCGTGTGGCGCGGAGCCAACTTGAAAAGCTCGTCGTTACGCAAAGGCCTTTCTAATCTAAAGGTCGAGGAAGTCTAGGGATATGATTAAACTATAAGCCTATAGGGTCCGCCACCGCCCCGCGCCCGGGCACCTCGACCTGGCAGCATGCCGCCAGCCAAGCCCGCGACACCGAGAGTGATGGCCTCCAACCGAATAGCGATGGCGTCCAACCTAATGGCGATGGACTCCAACCTAATATGGCCAGGGCCTCCAACCGTATAGCGATGGCCTCCAAGCTAATAGCGATGGCCCCCAACCTTATAGCAATGGCCTCTACTCATAGACGTCATATATGGACCTTTCCAGAGTCAGTTTTGCGGGTAGAAGCTTCGCAGGTCGTTGTATCTCCACGGACTCGGGACGGGACGGGTTCAGAACTGGAGGGTCGTCCCATGCTTGGAGTGTTTGCGAACACGACCGCTTTGATTTGCTTAAGATTCGGGGATTCGGCTGATCCAGCACGTGTTTTGCGGCTGATCCAGCACCTGAGGTGCCGACCTTTGCCTTCCAGGGTGAGGGGCCGGTGACACCGTAACGTGTGGAGGAGTGAGCCGACATGCCGAGCAGTCTCCGGGGTGAGAAGGAGTTCGTGGCAGAGTCTCGTGGCATGGTTTTGCTATAATTGGGTGAGCCCCCATTCTGGGCAAGGCAATATCTATTTTTACCGGTTCCACTTCCCCTCGGGTTGAAGAGCCGACCGATCGTTCGCGCCTGGTTCCGATGCGGGTTGGATTGATTCCCACTGTTTCTCAAGCAAATCACAAGGAACAAAGGAGGCGTATGGAGGCGTCAGTTTCCCTCACACACGCGTTTGAACCAGTGACCGCCTTAAGCGTACTTCTGGTCAGACGTTCAGCGGTCCATCGACTTTCGGGGGTCTTTGTGAGTTCCTCCTTCAAAACTCCTTCAAAAGCCCATTCAAACATCTTGAACCCATGGTTGACTCTTAAAAACAACTATCCCAGACACTCCATGTATGCCATATATGCCTACATTGGGGTGGTTTGAGGGTCAATGTAGGCATATATATGGCATACATGGAGTGTCTGGGTATAAAGAAACATCATGGAACATCCTTGGCAACGTCCTGAAAGCTTGTTTGGGATGTGTTGTTTCTCTCTTTGAAATGATCGTGGATGTGCACAAGCCCAAGCTGGGTAGGGGAATTTCTTGGAAGTTGCCCACAGCGGGGCCCCCATCGTCCCACTTCCGGTTGCAGGGGATCAAAGGGGGTTGACCTGGTCATGGTTCGTGACCGTTCGTGTCCCAAACTTGACCTCTCCTGGTTCTTCCGGTCACGAACAGGCCTGGAAGTGTGGGAATGAACTGGGAAAGGTCACCGTAAGACTGAAAGATCTGGGGAGTCCAGTTGGTAAAGCAATGTAAAATATAGCCTATAGCTTCCCGGTTCTTCAAAGTGACCTTTTTATAACCTGGTTTGAGGTCACTTAAGCCTCCTAGGGGTCACTTAGGAACCTTCAAAAGGTCACTTTGAAGAAGCTGCTTGTTTGATGTTGGTTGGGGTTCAGAAATCAATGCTAGGTTAGGTTTTTGTAGCCCTACAGATCCACCTACCGAAAGTGAATGGATACTCTTTCATGTAGGTTCGGAGGGTCCAGCCGTACCGAACCTGAGAAGGTGCAGTGGAATATCTAGCCCAGTGCCTCCCAGGCAACCCACTATATAAGGAACCAGGGATTCGTTCGGTCTATGGTTTTAGTCTTTAAAAGCCCACTGGTTACCAGCGACATCGTGGTTTGCCTGGATGCCCTGGGTTTGGTTAAGGGAGGGGTTCTTTCGGCCGGAACGTGCCTTCCTTTTCCCTTTTCCGAGGAGCAGACAGTCGAACACTCCGAGCCGGCTATTAGCTCGTGCAGCATTGGCCGCGTTTGGGTGCTTCGTGATGAAAACGGTGGCTGGGCTGACGGACAATGCGGACGAGCTGGGAGCAGGTGTTTTTGTTGGCTTGAATCCATTGGACTCATTCGAGCTTATAGCTGACCGTTTCCACGTGTGTCATCATGTTTCCACCATGAGTCAAGATCCCAGGATCAGACCAGCCGTCTTCGTTCAGCGCTGCGTCGCTGGAGTTGGCCTGGCCACCATCGCCTAGCCTCGCCTAGCCTCCCCGTGCGTGCGTGTCGTGAGCCATGCATGGAACTGGGATTGGCGAGATCCCGCTCGTGGCGGAAACCGATTCGTTGTCCCCGATGGGAGTTTTTGGCCAAGCATTGATATCCATTGAATTTAATAGCCTATAGCTAGGCTCCTGTGGGCGTGTCCCTACGTAAGCCTGTAACAGTCGGTTGATTCTACTGACCACCGTCATCCAGCGAAATGGGATATACCAATTAACCCTTCACCGAGCAACGTTGATTAGACAGACGACCAAACCCAGGTCTTTCCCCTTTGAATATAATGAATATATCGAACAGGAGGGCGAGGTCACGGGTGTTTGCAGTGATTGGGCCAAAGTCCAGTCCCAACAGTCCCACGAGCAATGAGACTGCGAAGATGGCCAGCACCCAGTTCGGGTGGTAGTCGTAACTGGTAGCACAGCGAAAACCATCGAAAACCGCCAGTAATGTAAGCCATCCATGGATCTTGGAACTGATGCCACATGTCTGCCGAACTTGGCTGGTTTCTAAGATGAAAAGGCAGACATATTTATTTATCCTAAGAATCCGGGCCCGAAGCAACACATAGGGTTTGGTTCGGGTCCGGACCCCTGCGAAGGTGTCAGGTCCGACCCCTGCCATGGAAAGCGTGTACGGATTCTTAGGGATAGAAGATCCAGGCTTGATGGGCCGCGTTTGGGATGTTGCCACGGTCGGTCGGGGGACAGGCCGACAGGGAGCGGGGGAACAGGGAGTTTAGGGACCACGAGGTGTGCATGTTCATCGAGAGGGTGCCTGGCCCAATGGGATCCAATGCATTGTCCGAACCTACCACGGATCGTTGCTTGGGAGGTCTTCCGAGTCTGCCCATGTTCGTTCTATATTGTATAAGGCAGGGGTTATTAATCCCGTTTGGGCTCCTGGCCCACCTCCTGAGGTCCGGTGGTTGGGGTGGGTGCCACGGGGGTCTATATAACCACCGAACCTAAGGATATGGCCCAGGAGCCCTAGGGAGGTGTCTTTCCGGCGGAATTCCAGCGATCTATTGGCCACCCCGATCTCCACCCTGAAGAGCGAAGGAGCTGGAGGGGAAGATGAGGGAATCCTTACCCAGGGCATCCAGGCAAACCACTATAGCTGGTAACCAGTGGGTTGACTAAAACCTACTAAAACCATAGACCGAACGAATCCCTGGTTCCTTCTAGACGTGGGAGCTGCCTGGGATGCACAGGGTTTCCAAAAGGGGTGTCTATTGGCCACCCTGGTCCCGGGGGTCCTGGTTGGTTCAGGACGTTGGGCTCCATTGTGTTTAATGGTCTTTGCCCATACCTGGACCTTCACGGGGTGTCCTGGCTGGAGGTCCCTTAGTGGTGTAGTAGGGGCTTCCAGCCAGGTGACCCCTTTGAGGGCCGTGGTATAGACTATGAACTAAAACCAGGTCAACAATTCCTTAATTCCTTCCTGGACCTTCATGTCGGGGTGCTCTGGCTGGAGATCCATATATCAGTATATAGTAGTCCATTGGAGACCTCACAGCTCAATTTTAGGTTGTCGGGACCAGCTTGATTTTCTGGAAACCTCCGTTTCACGGCCCAACGAACACATCGGGCGAACGCCCGAGCGGCAAACAATTCGCGACCGTTGCATGTGCCGTCCTTTCTCCACGTGGAGTTTCTCCGCAGCCCGCGATGACCAGCTTTGTAGGGCTGCAGATGGGAGGCCTTCGCTCGTCCACCGAGCGGACCGGGTGCACCCCAAGCTTGGAATGTGTTGGGGAAGACAGATCGTTTTGTTGGTTGATCGATGTTCGGAAGAAAGATGATGATGGTTGCACAAACATGCCTAATGCCTTGCATATATTCTTGCACTGCACCAACGTCAGATGTGTTTCGAATGGTGAAGGGCACTGCACGTCGCTCATTTGCTGGTCTTTAGGACGTACAGCAAGCAAATTCAGCCCTGCATGAGTGGACCAAGTGGTATGGCGGGTGGTTTGTATCCACCGTGGGCCCTCATATGGAGGGGTGGGACCCTCATATGGAGGGGTCTGGGGTCTCAATTCCTTAGGTTTTGAGGGACCAAGGGCTGTTTGGAGCGTCTGGGTACCACTGAACTAGCAGTTCCACATGGTATCAGATGGTTATAGTAAAGTTGTAGGGGACTCCAGTCGGCCATGTCTAACAAGTCTGCCACGAAAAAGTGGCAGCCGAACTTTAATCGGGTACAAGTACCTTTCCCAGACACTCCATGTATGCCATATATGCCTACATTGGGGTGGTTTGAGGGGTCAATGTAGGCATATATGGCATACATGGAGTGTCTGGGTAATGGGGTGATGTCCCATTTTCGAAGGTACTTTGGGTTCAGGCAGTCATTCGACCCCAAAACGGCCTTCGAACCCCCCCCCCGTCACGTTGACTTCGACTTCCCAGCCGTCACGTCACTGGTCCTGCAGGCTTGCACGAAAGCGCTTTTGTTTTGAAGATTGCATGCTTTCCTCGGATGCTATAGCATGTATGGGGCTCGGGGAGAGGCCGACTGCTCATTTGGCTGCCTGGACTAGCAGCTATACCTGCAACCTCGTGGTTGCTATTTTTGGGTCAGTGGTTCAACATACCTTTATTTAGGTATGTGAACCACATAAACATCTGCAACCGAAATAAACATCCGCTTAAAACATGTTCGGGAAAAAACGCCTTTGGCTCACCAGTAAGTGCCCTTAGCTTATGTATAACGCCCGTGGAATATCACAAAAATCAGAACACTAGCAGATAATTATAGAGAAACATCCGCAGACTCAATATAAGGCTGTGACTCCAAAAATGTTTTTCACGCCGCAGATCGAACAAAATCACTTTGAGGAAGTTCCAGGTATAGGCCTCATTGACCCAGCTAGAGGGGGCATGCCTCACGGACTAGGTGCTCTTAAAACCCGAGCCTGGGGAGGATGGTATGGCTTCAAGAATTTGGCGAAAGTGCCTCACATACCATGAAATGAAATGCTTCCAAGAGCTCCAAGCAAGCATGTCCAAGTGAATGTAGCTGGCTGTCGTGCTGTGGGGCGATTGGACATGCTGTGCAACAAGGACAGGTTCCCTGCGGCCTGACTTCCTTTTTCAAGGGCAACTGAGGGAGTCAGTCCCTTTTTTGGGCAGAGGCTTCTCAGGCCAATCACCACGGGAATCATCACCAATCACAGATGGATACGATATGAGATAGAATATGAGGTCGGCCCGGCTTCAAGTTCCATGCACGATCTGCGGTTCTTTAGGCGCTTGCATGCGCCTTAGGCGCGCCTTTTCCATGCCAATGCTCTTCGCTCGCTCAGAGGCGGCCCGGTGTTGACCAGATCGAAGGCGATGAGAAGGCGATGAGAATCAAGAAAACGTAGCTCTTGGTTTTGTTGCACATGTTTCTCAGACACTCCATGGGACTGCCATATATATTCCTACATATGTTTTACTCAGAGATGCGGTCCGACGGATGCCGATTGGAAGATCTAGGCCTCCCAGTTCAAAAAGGTAATTATCGACCTTCTAATCCATCCCACGCACCCTTTCCGAAGGTACTATACCCGTTTGGCCTCCAGTCGTGAACCTGAGGTTTGGTGGGACTGGGGGCCCGGGTGCCAGGGTCGGGTCCAGTCATACCTTTTGATCGAGGAGATACGACTGGAGGTGCGGGGATAGGGGCATATAAGTGATTCAATATCACTTGGCGCATGCAACCCCTTTTTCGTTGCTCCGATGGGTTTCTTGTAGCCGCCTCGTGCCGTGAAGCCAGGGTACCCCACCGTTCACGACCCAACCACGGTCCCTCCAAAGCGCACTTGAAATGCCAACCCTAGGGATCCAGTCGTACCTTCTCAGGTTCGGTACGACTGGACCCTCTGTCAACCTACATGTCAGAGTGTCTCCGTCCTCACCGTACCTGAGGTTCCGTACGACTGGATCCCAAACGGGCAAGATCCCAGACTGGACTCTGAGTCTGATCCAGCTGTGGAGCAGATCGGATCCCGCGACCGTTGCAAATGGGATGTCTTCCCCTTGCGGGAGAGCTCTGAGAAGTTGAGAGACACCGTTCCAAACTGGTACATACCAGGGCCTCGTATACGGGGTGTCCAATAATAGCGCTCCCTACTAGAGGTGAATGGGTGTCTATTCACCACCCCTGGCACCGGGGAGCCCATCGCGATGGAGCCCATGGCGAATGGAATGCGTCGTAGCAACTAGGCATGGGGAGAGGAAGACTCCATTTTATTGAATCGTGTTTCAAGGCGTCAATCGCCACGTCAAGTTGAGTCAAGTCGAACGAATCCTTGACATCGAAGACCAGTATTTGTGCGCTGTTTTGAACAGGCGCACAGGGCCACGGCCCAGACGTGTGATTCGTGCCGCGGAGAGATTTTTCGTGCCGCTTCATGGTGGGATCGATCGGTGCAAGCGGATGAGATCCTGGCTACCTGAAAAGCCTATATACTATATACCAGGGCCCCCGGAGCCAGTGGTGGCTCATGGACATCCCTTGAGCTCTATGGAGCAAGAATTCAACACCGGGGCCCTTGGAGCTTGAACCGCCCTATTTGGATCCTATAATATCCCTATAGATCAATTTCCCCAGGGCTCCGAACGGCCCATATTATCCTGAGAGGTTGGGTGGTTGGACCCCCCCCAAGACCACCCTGGCCCATCGAACCTCAGGAGGAAACAAAACAACTTTTCAACCACCCAAAGTCTAGGCCATAGTTCATACATGGAGTGTTTGCTGAATTTTGTGGGGGTGTTGTGGAGGAACACCCGTGCAACATGGGCGGGCGCGCGCATGGGCAATGCCTTCCAAGACTTTTCTTTAAATGGTTTATTTTGCTGTTGTCGTAGTGTAGAATCCTAGTACAACAATGGTGGTTCAAACTATTAAAGAACAAGCGTTATTGAAAGTTGAAATCCTAGGATATTGGTTCCTGGGTGAGCCCCTGACTGAGTAAGGTGATTGTTCTTCTTGGACAGCGACCGCAAGGTTGTAGGGAGGGACTGGGACTTTGACTTTGTTGGCTGCCATAAGTATCCCAGACACTCCATGGGACTGCCATATATGCCTATACATTGACCCC